ATTTGTTGATAAAAGTTAAGACAGTAAAAGTGTTAATATTCCATTAAAATTTTAAAAATCATTGTTATGATTTATTTTTTAAATTAGGTAAAATGCAGAGAATTTCCATCAATCAATGTGTTGAAAAAAAAACATAATTTATATGAAGTGACTGCTTCTAACTATGAATTCATGGGATGAGGATATTACAATATTAATTTTTATGTTATGCTGTTGTCTAATAATGTTTTTGCTACTTACGTGTTGCTACTGCAACATTTCAAGTATGGATATCATATTTTAACTTTTATAGATTAGGTTAACTTTTATTATAAATATTTATAATGTTAATACTCAGATACTTTGAATTATTTCCTAACCTGGTGAATGATAACTGAGTGTAATTCAAAAATTACCATTTAGATCCCCATTGGCCCAATGGTAGATATACAATTAAGAAGTAAACAGGTAGTCACAATAGCTTTTCTCTAACAGCGCAATGGTCAAATGGAAGCTGATTCTACTCGAATTTTGAATGAGTAATTATATCTATTTGAGAAGTGAACAAAATTGTATTTTTATTTCTCTTTTAATTCTTATTGGCCCCAAACAAGTACGATAATTATTAATAATCTGGTATAGTGATGTAGTTTCTATATTTTTCAATTGTTTGTAAATTCTAGTGCCATTTTCTTGTATTTATACTCCATTCAAAAAAGAATATACCATACTAGGCAGTGACAAGTTTCGTCCAGCGGTAGCATCTTCCGCATAACTACAGGTATAGTGATCATTGGAAGGAAAAACAAGTAGACAGAACTGGTATACTTTCTATTCGAACGGAGTATAGAGTACATAAGGATTAGGTTAGGTTATTATAATTATTATTATATTCTGTTAAAATTAAGATTAGTATCGARCGGTGACGAATTTTTGTCTGCTATGGTCGAACGTATTATCAAATGCTTCTCCCCACCAATCGACACACAAGGCCAGTRCTTTGGAACGAAGCCAATTTAGCCGTCTGGCATCTCACTTTTAACAAATTATACACATATCTTATTTTTTTATAAATAATAAAAAACATAAAATAATTCTTTGTATGATTAGTTAAGTAATATATAATTA